CCTTCACACTCTTGATTATATTGAAATAAAAAAGATTAAAAAATCTAGCACAATCTCACCATCTGCATATGCTTCTCAGTTTGCACCTCCTCTTAATTTTATATGGAGCAATGATTAAAGATTAATTCCCTTAAGGATTATGTACTGTTTGGCAAATAAGTTATGGAAACTAAAAGGGAAAATGACCAAAAAAATGACTGTTGAAATTTGAAATGACAAAATGAGTATACAAATAATTGAAATCACCAAATAAGCCTAAGTATCAATCTGGAATTTTGACAATTCGATAGAAAAACTAAAATGTCCTTGAACCTCTCTGAAGACATGAATAGGTGGTAACTCTTAATACGAAAGTTATAATTCACATTACAAATATTATCATTATCATTACCAAGATAGTGAAATTGACTCCAAATACATATTATTTGGATTTGAAAGAAATGAGTTGTAAATAGCAATAGTGAGATGGTAACTCTAATTAAAAAAGTTGTAATTCACATTATAAATGTTGTCATTTTCATTACCGGGGTAGTGAAATTGGTTCCAAATACATGTTATTTGGATTTGAAAGAAATGAGTTGCAAATGATAATAGTGAGATGATAACTCTGATTATGAAAATTGTAATTCATATTATAAATGTTGTCATTATCATTACCAGAGTAGTAAAATTGGCTCCAAATACGTGTCTAGGGCATTTTAGTCTTTCTACCGAATTGTCAAAATTCCAGATTAACATCTCATGGCCATTTGGTGATTTCAGTTATTTGCATGTCCATTTTGTCATTTCAAATTTTAACAATCATTTTCTGGTCATTTTTCCAAACTAAAACCACTTGACTAGGATAACAGCTAAATAATAAAACGGCTTCTTCCAGAAGCAGCAAAGGTTGACTTTCTCTCTCCCCATTTTCGTTGACTACCGTCGGCCGTCGAGCTTTAATTTCCGCGATCAACAATACTACCTCCGGTCCTAATTTACCACACGTGCCACTAAAATGCACAGCTGCAAAGTCAAAACCCACTCAAACTATTATAAAGCCCTTAGCTTGCCTTTGTAGTCCCCATTAAACTGATCAAGACCTAATGGCTTCAATGGTGATAATGGCTTCCTACAAGATTATCCCACTCTTGTTCTTTATCACCTTCCTCTCTTCTGCAACCTCTGATGATGAATCACAACCTACTTTTCTTTCCCATGCGTGCTCTTCCGACAAAACCTTCCCTGCCAATAGTGCCTTCCAATCCGACCTCACCACCCTCCTCTCTTCCTTAGCTTCCGACAACACAGCCAACACTGACTTCTACAACACCACCGTTGCTGGCGGCGGCGAAACTGCATATGGCCTCTTCATGTGCCGTGGCGACGTCACCCTCGAGGTGTGCCACCAATGCGTGGTCGAGGCAACCAAAAGATTGACTTCCGATTGCCAGTTCTCGAAGGAGGCCGTAATCTGGTACGACGAATGCACGCTTCGCTATTCCAACACCTCCTTCTCCACCGTCGACACAAGGCCAAGACTCGGCCTCTTGAACACTGGAAATATCGCCAACCCTGCAAGCTTCATGAGATTATTGTTCACTACTATGAACGAGACAGCAGATTTGGCAGCGAAACCTGCCTTGGGCGAAAAGAAGTATGCGACGAAAGAAGCGTTCATTTCGGGGTTTCAAACTCTGTATTGTCTAGCCCAGTGCACGCCGGACCTTTCGCCGGAAGATTGCAGGAGGTGCCTGAGCGGCGTGATTGGGGACCTTAACTGGTGTTGCGATGGCAAGCAAGGAGGAAGGGTTCTATACCCTAGCTGTAATGTTCGCTATGAACTGTACCCATTCTATCAAACACCAGCTTAGAAGTCAGTGAAGTGATTCCTCCATATAAGCTTGAAAGTTGGAGAGATCTATAATTCTTAAGTCTCTATTTGAGTTAGTAGTCTGCTTATTTTTCCGTTTGAATGACGGGTCATTCATTCAGGCAAAAATGTACTCATATTTTATATCAATAAGGCTCTGGATCGAGATGACTTTCTTAATTCGCTTCGTACCATTTTCTATTATAAGTTCACCACCTACGTAGCTATTGTCTTCTTAAAATGTGCATTTCGCAATTCAACAGACGAGGGTAATGTAGCGTGACGTCATATATATTATATACACACACACATATAATATTAAATAAACTCTGATTTTTAGTTTTCATCTCATAGTACACGTTGAAATTGCCAAGACAAAAACATGAGAAGGAAAAATATGAGTCAACTTTTGTCAATTTGCAAGAGCAGCAGCAAAGCTGTTATAATTTCTGTACATTTCACAAGCTTTCTGCTACGCTAATAAACAATAAACCAGTGGTAAGGCGCTTAATTAGGCCCTGGTTTAAATTATTAGCCAGATTCTTTTTTTTTTTTTTTGCCAACTATTAGCCTGATTCTAGAACGATTTGAGAGGGATTATTAGGCGCGCTACATCATTGTCCAGGGCCCGAGAGAAAGAATAAAATAATAAGATGATGATAAGCTTGAGACCATTAATTAGTAGGGAAAATATGTGTGTGTGTGTGTATAATGATCATTACTAGTTAATAATAACGAAGTGTTACATAGCATCATCGTCCACATTGTTGGTTATCATCTCGAGCCATCAAATATGACTTCAGAGGGCCAACCACATCATCTCTTAGTTGTTCATTGCATTAACATGACTAGTGTGTCTGGTGGGAAACGTCATGACTCAACTATGCACACATATACTAACAAACTAACGGATGTTGGTTAAGTTATTAAATGTGCTTTAAAATAAGAAAAATTACCTATTTTACCCTTATTAAAAAATGTGATTGGAAAATTTTTTTTCTGCATTTGAAACTCTTTCTCCTCCCTATAATAAGAGGTAAAAGCAAAAAATTATTATTAATGATTCTGTCAACCTCTTATATTTTGGATTAAAACTTTCTTCTGAGGAAGGAGTACATAAGTGGAGTTTTGAATATAAATGTTAACATAGTTGACCACTACGAAGGGGTTTGGTCTTATGTTATTGGTGCCTCTACTTTGAAGATGAGATGATGAACAGCTTTCAAAGAATGAACTAATTAATTAAACCAATGTGCTATCATAATAATCCTGCTATGTCGAGAATTCCCTCTTCAGCCGCCGTCAAAATGGACCTCAACAGCAAATCAATTGATATCAAACTCACTGAAATATGCTCCATCCTTGATATAAAAATTAGTTTGAATTTTAATTTGGTTTTAAATATAATATTTCAATTCACTTTGTCTCTTATATTTATTTATTTCTTTCAAGATAGTCCTCGTAATAATTGCACACATCAAAAGTTTTATCAAATGGTAGTCTTAACTAATACACATAATTAATAAAGTTATTTTAGGAAAGATAACGTATATTTATTATAAATAACTAATTTAACTAATTTTCTTAATCTATTTAAATTAGCTAACTGACTATTATATTTTAGGAAAGGTAGTAATAGAAATGTCTCCTTACTTTTGGAGGACAACTAGGATCTAGTGGGGGAAGCTCACAGCTTAGAGGTCAGGGGCAATTAAAATATTTAGGCAATTTTAGAGTTCCGTTGGCAAAAAAAGAAGAAGGTATTTTTAGAGTTCCATTTGATTTTATTTCTATTTTTGCCAATAAAAATAATTTAAATGAAACAAATGAGTAAGAGTTTTTTTTTTGGTAGATCTTTATAATCCACGTATGTTCTCTCTGATTATTTAAGAGACGGTGCAAACGATTTTTTTTTTTTTTGTATATTTGTGATTTAATACTTCAAGAGCGTATGTAATAATTTCCCCTTTTTAGTCGCGTTTCTTTTCGCCCCATCTTTCTCAATTGTTTATAGGGAGAATTATAGTAAGATCTTAAGAAAAGAAAAAAAAATTACAAAATAAATTTTAAAAGTTGTCATTTTTTCCCCTAAAACTTGTAAATTGCAGGCTGCTTATGTTATTATTGAAATTTTTTAGTAATTATTTTCTTGGTTGTAATTCTTCCTTGTTTATATAAATTATAGATAATCATTTTCTGGGATTTGCCCACGCGCGCTTGCTCCCTTGGAAAGAACACAATGGTTCAAAGAATTAAAATTGCTTCAGCAGTTCGGCCACTCCAAGCGTCTATGACTCCAATTGACTCTTTCCTTCAGCAGTTCAGTGAAAATATTTACGTCCATGGGCTTAGCCCATCGTGGTGAACGAAAAGAAAATATCTTACAATGATTGGGCTCAACAAAATCACGCAAACAATAGCTAAGTTGCGGCAGTTTAAAATTATCAGGTTGACGTGAAAGACCAAAGAAAATAACTTTGTTTCTTTCTTTCTTTTACAAATATGCAGCTTATCTTTCTTAAAACATGATACTGGCTCACCTTTCTTGTTGACTGGTGTAAGCAACCATAGCTGATCGGTGGCTATTTTCGAAATACTTTTGCAGTACAATTGGTTTGATAGGTCCCTTGTTTGCAAGATCCATTTTGCCAACAATTCTGTCCAGTCACCGAGACAGGGTTGGAGACGAGAGGGAAGGAAGAGCCACTTCTCAAACTCACATCCTATTTTCACGTGCTTGATCAATTAATGGGTTCCTAATATCCCCTATTGAATCTTAGCCAGTGCCTGGTAATGCAAGTACGTTCTGTGTGATGCTTCTCCATACAAGCTTATACTGTACTTCGCACTCTTCGATTCACCAGCTTCATTTGGTTCAATATCAAGCATAGTTTTACTTTTTAAATTATGTGTATGACAATTTGATTATTGTAACAGATCTTGGTATGTATTATTATGGCCCTTTTTTCATGCACATTCTTTGTTCGTTATTTATAGGCCTTGATCGAATTCCTAACCAATGTGACCAACAAATTGAAAAATGCGAACCCACGCATCATTTGGACAATGGAGTCGGCCAAAGTGTCTAAATTAAAAGTAGGAGTGAGCTTCGCCTGACCAACCTACTCGACAGATCAGTAGAATCAAATGAAGAGAAGAAATAAAATAGATAGCCGGCAGATTTTATTCTCATACTAGTGGATTTGTACACATTGGCAAACAACATGATACTGCAATGAAGGGATATTGATCGATGATCATGATCCTCTCAAATGACCTCACAGCCACATCATTAATTAAAAGAGGAGGAGCACAAGACATGTGAAACAGAGAGTTGACAGATACAAACAGTTTATTGTATACATGATACTGCAATTAGGGAAAAAAAACTAGAAGATTGATGATCGGTCCTTTCAAATCGCCTCACAGCCACATCATTATATATATATATATATATATATATATCAACATTCTTCGGCAGCTCGCCTTAGATATTTGGCCTCATGTTCAGATGGGATGCTACCTTTTGACCAAGAGAACGATCGGCCTGTAAACCAGCACTATGACATGAGCAAGCAAGAACAAAAGTGATTCCTACAATTTAATTAATACATAACCATATGTAAATAAAGTCCCACCTGAGATAAGTAAGATATCCAGACGCTGCGGACCTCATGTGTGACGCGTGGGTCTGATAAAACTCCAACCCATCTGCGGATAAACCTATCTTGCCTGAAAATAAGGCAGACAGAATCAGAAGTCAGATGATGATGATGATGAATATATTTCATCTATTGACTGTATCAGTGGTCTGTAACAGGTACCTGTCAGCTGCCCAGGATCGGTATAGCTCCCCAGGCTGCTTGAAGTTGTTCTCCTTCTCAATTATGCGCTGCATTAAGCATATAGGAGTCGTTAACGCATTCAAGAACAATGCAGTCAACAAAAGACTCGTACATTACATTTAGTACTTCGTATTGACACAATGCAGGTGACTAAGACTAACCTTGTCACGCCTTCCCCTTAAAATAACAGGAGGAATTGGGAACTTTTCTGCGTGGCGAGCAGGGTCATACCTTGATGGGAAGTAGTCGACCTACAAACCAACATTATAGTCATTATATAATGAAATATATGAAACAAACAAGTAATTTGCCATTTCATGATAAAAGCAATGTCCAAACATATTACCTCCTCATCCCTGTGCATGAAATTCATGGCACCGTCGTAGTGATTGTTGTGATGAGCACACTTGGGAGCATTTACAGGAAGTTGCAGATAGTTTGGTCCAATTCTGTGTCGCTGCGTGTCAGCATAGGCGAAGATACGACCTTGGAGCACCTTATCATCTGAGAAGTATACGCCAGGCACGACAAGGGCAGGGTTAAATGCAAGTTGCTCGTTCTCAGCAAAGAAGTTGTCGATGTTCCTGTTCAAGACCAAGCGACCAACTGGCTGGAGGGGTACCAGGTCCTCTGGCCAAGTCTTAGTTCCATCAAGTGGGTCAAAGTCAAATCTGTCTTCAAAATCAGGATCAATGGTTTGGATGAAGAGTTTCCACTCAGGATAGTTGCCAGATGCAATAGAATCATAAAGATCTTGGGTTGCATGACTGTGGTTCGCTCCTCCGACCCTAATGGCTTCCTCCTCCAGCAGACACTTAACACCCAAGGTAGGTTTCCAGTGGAACTTCACATAATGTACTTTGCCAGCCTTGTTGATCAAAGTATATGTGTTAACACTAGAACCTTCCATGTGCCTGTAATCTTGGGGCACGCCCACATCATCAAACAAGAACATAAATGTGTGAAGGCTTTCTGGAAGATGGGAACAGAAGTCAAGGACCCTCCAGTACTCCTGGATATGAGACTTGGGGTTGGGTTTGAAAGCATGGATCACATCTGGAAACTTCATTGCATCACGGATGAAGAAGACGGGAAAGTTGTTTCCCACCAGATCGAAGTTACCCTGATAATGATGATGAAGTTATATATTAATTAAACTCACTTTAAAGCGACAACCACAAGTCACAGATTATATTCTAGCTAGCTTAATTACCTCTCTGGTGTAAAATTTGACAGCAAAACCACGAGGATCTCTAATAGTTTCAGGGCTACCACGTTCATGGATGACAGTGGAGAAACGGACGATGACGGGGGTTTGAACTCCAGGGCCTCGAAGGAAATCTGCACAAGTGAGGTGAGTGATATCATGTGTGACTTCGAAGAAACCCTTGGCACTAGCTCCCCTTGCATGAACAACACGTTCTGGGATTCTTTCCCTGGTAAAATTTGCAATCTTCTCCACGAAGTGATAATCCTCTAGCAGAATTGGACCTGCCAATTAAACGGGTTTCAAATATCATTTCTGGGCCAAAATCATTACTACCTTTGCTTCCCTCTTTTATATTTCCCTAACATTAATTTGGGAGACGACAATTTGAAAGGTACAATCAAAAGCCCCATGTGTGCCTCTCGGCATTGAATTCCTAATATTTGTTATAATCACCAGGATAGTTAGCTGATTGCAAAAGCTACTCTGCTACAATCAACACCAAATTAGATTTGCAGGACTCAGATTTCAATAAATGTATAATTTTTAAAAATTACATATATTTTTGGTGATTGTCAAAGTTAAACTAAACTAATTAATATTATTTTCAAATTAAATAAAAAAAATCTCTTGCAAGTGCATAATTTTTACAGTAAAAAATCCAAAAAAAAATAATTTAAAAATTTGAACATGGATACGTATAGAAATACTAGCTCCGGTCATATACATATACACACACATATATATATATACACACACATATATATATAAAAGAGTTATTTGGAGATTTAATTTGGTTTTAAATATAAGATCACAATCTATATTATTTCCAATAGTTTATTGATTTTGCTTCAAATAATCTCTATGGTAATTGCACATGTTCAAGATTTTTCATAAAACGATAATTTTAATACACATGATTACACAACATGTATTTATTAAAATAAGCAATTTAACTAATTTTTTTAATATCTGCAAGGTATGTATTTGGCTCTTATATTGAAGATTGGAGTCCTTTCCTTATAATAAATAAAGAGTTAATATTAACCAATAATAAATTTCAGAAAAAAATAAATAAAATTATATATATTATATTTCTGTATAAATAAATGAATAAAATATTTGTGTGAGTAGAGAGAGGCAAGGAGAGTGGAGAGGCGGGTGGACACATGTAATGCATAGGAAAGAAAGAACCAATGGCGGTCACACGCCCCATGGTCCACGGCAGCAGCCAGACGAGAGGTGCGGACCCCAGACATGCCCCCTACGGGACAACACCGCATGGTGCATGTGATCCATCATCTCAGATTTCGATTCGGCACCCCAGATCACATGCTCATCATTTAATAATTCATAACTTTGTCATATGCCCAAATTAAAATTCCGTCAAGATCCATCCATCATTCACTAAAACATCAGAGTCCCAGAAAGTCTGCGTTTTTAATTCCAAGTAGCTAGCTCTTTAAATCTTAATCAAAAGAACTAATTCCACTCAAATGAAGTCTTAAAAGGAGCAATTTACAGAATAATAATGTAAGTATACATATCATGCATGTCCTTTAGCTTCTACCCACTTAGCAGGAGGAGTGTAAATAATAATATACCTCGAGATCCGATGGTGAGGGCAGAATCGTTGTCATAAACGGGGGTGCCGGAGTTGGTAGTCCAGAACGGAGTATTGTAGGCGCTCGATGGTCGGTACTGCACCAGCAAAGCAAGTTAGCAAGAAGAGCAAAATGCTGGTGATGATCAACAAGCTAGCTAATTAAGCACAGAAAAGGATTCTAAGATCCAAAGTTACTGCATCATGATCATATCCAGCTTAGGTTGTACCTTGTAGGGATCCATGGCGATGGCCAACCTGAGTGATGATGATCAGCAACACAAGAGAGAAGAAGAATATAATGTGAGCAATGAGACACTCTGCAATTCATCTCATTTATAAAAGGGCTGAGCCCCCTTTGCTGCCGTCACTGTAATTCCCATTTTCTAATTAACTTTTCGTCCTTGCCATTACCCTCTCTCCACCTGCTCCTCCCAGTGAAAATATCTTCCTCTCCTCCTTTGTTTTGTCCTTATCTTCCCTCCTTTTGCCTTCAATTATTGAACCAAATTATTATCTGCACCTAAAGATGTGCACAGTCTGGCTAATTTAAAAGCAATATATATATATATATATAAATAGAAATTCCGATTTGTTGTTCACTCAATTATGCCTTCTTAACACCCGACCCTCTTCTCTCAACAAAGGCCGTTTCAATTATTCCACGTTTACTCCCGACAAATTTTTATCATCTTAATTAATTACTCATTCATTGGCTAACAAATATCTTTGGTCTTATGTATACATGCACATGTGCGTGTCTATATGAGAATTTTGTTTGCAAGATCTATCTTAATAATTTTCTGAATGTTATAAGGCACAGAGAGAATTTGTTTTTTTTCCCCCCTTTATAAGCCACAATAGTAAATTCTTCATATATTACTCTTCATTCATTATTATATAGACTTTATATTTTATTTTCAGATAAAATGTATATTAAACATACATGAATAAAGTTGAAAAGTTAGATTTAACATTTTTCTTAGTTTCCTTAAAATAGGTTATAAATAAGTTGCACCTAGGAGTCAATGAGTATCAATTTTTATTTTCTTCTCTATTAATTAATTATTCGTTAGTCTTACTGTATTATTCACTCACTCGCTCTATATGGTTTTGAAAAATAAGTCACATTGTTTATAATAACTTGTCTCTTAGTGAAAGGATGGGAGGTAGTAATATGGAGCAGACAAATTTCGATTTTAATCTCTCTCTGGCGAGTAAATTGCAATTATCTTACCAATCAGATACTATTCATGGTCCGCAAAAGTCAACAAGTCTTATCCCTAATCTCAATTTGGATGTCGTTATTACTGAACAAATTGGCCGACAAGCATAGGACACTTAATTGGCTCCTAGTTCTCTCTTGTTATGAGTGTGAAATGGATCATTTCACAAAAGTCGCTCCACGATATTTTGAAATTCTTGCTCCTCTCTTCATAATTCAACTCAATACTTAGCTTCTAGCTAAATCAATCAATAATATAAGCCTTTATATTATTTTATGTTGTGGGTTCTGGGTTCTCTGTATCGAGCGCAAAAGAATATAATAATAGAAGAAAATGATGAAGAACCCATCCTTGCTGGGCTGCCACATTTGCCTGATTTTTACATCTACGATGTTTCAGTTCTTAATTTTGAAGCTGGAGACAAGAAAAAGATGATGATTTTTATTCTGAACCATCACCCTCATGGCTTGTTGCTTCCTTATAATTAGAAAGGTAGTGGATGTATAAAAATACCTTCTAATTTTTCCAAATATATATATATACTATCATTAAATTTGCACTGGCAGCAAAATTTATTGATGCCTCGATCACAAATTATGGATGGGTCCAGTAAATTTTAGATCTTCCAAGGTTGACATTTTTAATTTCAAAAGATTACTCCTAACATTTTGCAAAATAACTCATCTTCTAGAATGTGGACTCCTTTTACAATGCTCCATAATTTGTGGTAAGTATTGAATTATTGATGTCTTATCATATTTGAGATTAAAAAAATATTTTATTTGTCGGTTCAGCAGACGATGATGACCGGATTCTCTTGGTCGAGCACAAAGAAGAAGATGAAGATGAAGGACGATAATCCAAATCAAGATGCATTATGTGTCACCCTTCTTTTCTTTCCATGCCTGATCTTTATATCCACAATATTCCAGTTCTTAATCGTTAGACGCATCCTAAAAACTGAGTTACAATTTTTGGACAGAAAAAAAGAGTTAAAATTAGTTTTCTTCGTTACGTTTGTCCCTGTTAAATGATTAAGTCAAGCTTTGAAGATTTTTTTTTTCCGGATTGTTCATAATATGGATAAAAATTGGAAAAAAAAATTAATACACCAAATTAAATAAAACCCTCAAATATCTTATATTTTCGACTAAAAAGAGAAATCCTTCTTCCGACGTCTTATACTTACCACATCCAGTCTCGTATAGGCGTTGTCAATAATTCGTATATTGATTCAGAATTAGCCTTAAAAAGTACCTACGCTGCTGAAAAAAAATTAATTAAGAATATTTTTATTAAAAATTAAGGCTATGAAATTACATAAAATACAAGTTATATTTTTAAAAAAACTATTTTAATATATGTCCAAACTATTCTCGCATATTCTTACCTCTAAAAAGTTAAAACAATCCCTATTATTTGCGTGGCGGGCCATATATCAACGTCGTTGCGTTGATGGATCCTTATCTTGATGTCTTTAAACGCGTGCCCCCAAACTCAAATCTAATTCCCAATTTGCCCCTGCAGACCCCACCATTCTATACAGTTGTTTGGAAAGCCTTTCAAAACAGACTTTTAAATAAATTTACGTAAATTGAGATAAAACTCTCCTCACATATTTATTTCGTATTCTGTAAATCATATTTGAAAAGCTAATTATAAATTGATCCAAATAAATCCTATAATGGCCTGACCCACCCCGGCTCGCTTTAGATATTTTTTCGGAAGACTTTTGGCATGGAATGTCTGAAGTAACTTCGTTTAAAATCCAAGTTGAAGAATTTTCTCCAATCCAAGTTGAAGCATTTTCTCCAATCCAAATTGAAGCATTTTCTCCTTCTTTGTTTTTTCACAAGTTATTTTCAACATATTAAACTAAAATTTAAAAAATAAGTTTTGTTAATTTTATCTTAAAAATTAATAACTTTTTAATTTTATTTTTATTTAGGGGGTATTTGGGTAGAAACTAAGAGGATGTTGGATGAAAACAAAATCATGGTTTTAAAAGTGATTTTATGATATACGAAGTAAATATATGGAGGAGTTTATCTTGATTAGTAGAAAAATGCTTTTGAGAAGCACTTTTACAGCTTCCCAAATACCTCATAAACCATGATTTTAAAAGTGTTTTTACGGTATACGAAGTAAATATGTGGAGAAGTTTGTTTCGTTTTATAGAAAAGTGCTAATGTATATATTTTTTCAGAAAATAACAGTCTGCATAATAATAATAAATAAAAAAGTAAAGCCGGCCATTCATATAAGAAATTTAATAATATAACTTGTAATAAGATGAAAAAAATTCATTTTTCAGGATTGGAGCATTTGAAAAGTCCTGTAGTATCATGTGATAGTTTGCGAATCTTACCACTCGCAAGGGTTGGAAGGAGGCAGGAGCTTAATTACCATTACCCATTTTAATAATATAACAAATTTTTTTAGTATATGTGAGATGATCGAAAACACCTGATAATATATAGGATTAGAGAGAATATTTTTTGTTAATTTTAAATTAAACGTATTGTAAACTCAACTTGAAAAGATATGAATTTATAATATCATCATGATTTATATTTCTTTTTAGAACATTACTTTATTTCTTGCGTTTATTTTAAAGGAGTATAAAAAATGTTAGTAATATTTTAGGTTTCGAACCCATTCAGGTGAAAAAACAAAAAAAGGAAGCAATTTTTTTGAAGCCACTGAACGTATTCAAATAATCTTATAATAACCGAAACCCAGATATCTTGATGGACAATACTTGCCATGAGGAAGCCCCACTTCGGATGAAATATCTTGGGAAAATTGCAAATAAAGACCCCCCAATATATAAAATAGCAATCAGGGACCCCCAATTTGAGAAATTGCTGCAGAGGACCCGGTCCCAATTTGCAATTATGAAATGTAAGGAAAATGGCTGAAATGCCCCTCACTCATCATGACTGTTAATGAAGGCAGAGACCAGGATTTGGGTGGCGGGAGAGCTGGTGGAGTAGGATGAGCCGAACGAATATGTGCGATATTGGGATCTTCGAACATTGGCAATAATGCGACTAACTTACTGAGTAAACCCTTCTTGTATTGTTCCCTGTAAGAGTTACACATCGTCACATTCTCCATCTTCATCTCTGCTGTGTGGGTGAGTAGGCTGGAGGAAGGGAGGGAATGGGAGGTGTAGTTGAAGATGAAAGATATGACAATGTAGGAGGTTGTGGTTAGTTGGAGGTGGGATATTTTTGTTTTCGTAGTCTGAACGGTCATCTGTCATTTGTAGTGCACGGTGCTGGTTGCGATGGGGAAGGGGTCAGAGTGTAGTGGTTTGGCAGAGTGTAGGTTGGATAATGGCCGTTAGTTTGACCGTGAACGTTGAGGTGTTGCCGCGGAATGAGGGAATGACGATACCATGATTTTCGGTGTTGAAGTCGTCAAGCCCTAAAGTGAAGTTGTGAAGCCCTAAAGTGAAGTTGTGAAGGCCTAAAGTGATGTTGGGAAGACAGGAGGTCACGGGTTTTTAATTTGGTATGTAAATGGTTGAGTCGATGGAATAAATGAGTAAATATTTATTAGTGAAGCTAACGTACTGACTAAACGTAAATTTTTGCTGCAGATTAGTATGAAAAATGGATTTCAATAACCGAAGAAGCTGTGGGAAGGAGTTGTTCTGTTACGTGCACATTGGTGGACATTTTGAAGCAAATGGTGAAGGGATAGTTAAATATATTGGAGGGAGTGTAAGGGTAACCAGTATAAAAGAATGGATAACAGTAGACGAGTTGTGTGGAATAATTTCACAGTGGATAGGCAATGATGGTGGTGGATATGAGATTAAGTATAAAGTTAAATTTGATGAGAGTACATTGATTGATCTTTGTGATGATGGTGATATCAGCAACTTGTTTAGATATAATGACAGCAGTGGTCATGTGTATGTAGGAGGGAAAGGGAATGATAGGGAACGTAGAGCAAGGAATGATCCAGACGTGTAAGTGGTTATGTTTTCCAATTGAATCTTGTTATTTACTAATATATTGTTGGTAATTCGTATAGAAATATTGTAATGAAGC